ACCTAAAGTAAAGTAAGATGTTTTGATGTGTTACAGCAGGGGAAGCATAGCTGTATTAATCATGCTGCATTTCCAGTTAGTCTCCAAGAGAGCCGTGACAATGTAAACAGCATGCACTTAAGCAGGATGTCTGGAAAAGCCATTGGAGCGTTTACCCTTGATTGGATATTTGGTGGCACATATACTGTCTTTTACATTCAAGTGAAATGAAAGTTTTCACTGGTCTCTATTGCAGTGCTGTGAAAAGTCCAACCTTACTGCTTCCAAAGAAACTAATAGGGCAAATATCAGCCAGATGCTATGAATCAAATGCACTTGATTAACTGGTCATCAGAAAGTGAGCACCTCCATTAAAGCAGAAGCTAGGTCTCTTTGCTGGTGGGGCAAAAACACTCAGACTGTACAGGCGTCGGTATGTTCAGGTAATGACAGTACAGTTAGAAAAAAGTCTGAACCAGTATGACTTGTTTGGAAGAGTTCCTGAGAGGAAGTGTGTTCACTAGAAAAAGAATACAGCAACACAGCTTAGGTTTACAAAGTTGCATCTGGGGGGAAAAAAAACCCCCCACAAGATATCTGTCCTTTGGTGCTAATACGCCGTGTTTGGTTTTCACCAGAGATGGCACCGTGTGTTATGGCCAAATACCTCATACCGTTGTCAAGTACGGTGGTGGAAGGGTGATGATTTGGGCTTGTTTTGCAGCCACAGTACCTTTGAATCAACTATGATATCCTCTGCATATGTTCAGGACAATAGAGAATACAGCAGAATAATGAATTGAAATCTAATCTAAGGAAGTATTCACCAACAGCAAAGATGGTAGTAAAAGTAAAAGTTCCCTGGAGGGACCTCCCAATGTCAGACCATGCAATACTCAAACTGTGAGAGAAACTTTAAAAATAAATTTAAAAAAAAAATAAAAAAAAAAAATGGACTCTACAGGCCTCAGCATGTTAAATGCTAAAAACTGAACAAGTATGGCTTGTTTGGAAACATTGCTAGCAGAAAACTCTCTCTGTAAAAAGAATATGGAAGCACATGTTAGGTTTGCAAAGTTCCATTTGAATGAATAATAAGAGTTCTGGAATAACAATTACAGTACCAGAGTACTCTGGAGTCAAAAAACAGATAACCCAGTAGTTAACTAGTGAAGTTTAAATGGTACACCAATTAAATTAAACCAGTTGGTAGTTACTGATCTTATTTACCTGAGTTTTCCTAACACACCACACAGCGGCACTAGTATGGCATCTGTGTAAACTAGTGGAAAAGTGGCAAATGGCGCCAGAAAACTAGTACAAAGTAATTCCAAGCTAGCGTTAAGCACTAACAAAGACCAAAATATGAGAGGAAACTAAAACCTGATGTAAAGGACAGAATAAATATTGAATTTCTTACTTGGACAGATTTTGTTTGAAGCAGTACTGAAAACAACAGTCATGTAGCTTCAGCCAGAGTCTGTAATCATTTTGTTTTTTTAGTGTAAGTAGTCAAATCACTTTTAAGAAACAAGACTTGAGAAGTGATGAAAGTGAAGATGGTTAATCTTATAGCCTCATGCCACAGAATGAGAAACACAACACATTCTAAGCAAATGCAAAAGCTGCTGCTTCAGTTTGACATTTTTAACCTCTGCCTTATTTTTTTTAGATTTGATTACTTAAGCTTTAAGATTTTGACTGACAAACTGGTACTTTAAGTTTTGGACAAATATTAGTTCTTACGAGGAAAACAGTCACATTTTCCGGTCTCTTGCATTTTTCTTAAGATAACAGTGCTCAAGAGGAATGAGTCAAACACCACAGGTACGTTTCCCCCAAAAACAGTTTAATCATAGATGGTCAAAATCATCTCAAGCAGGAAAGGACAGCATTTGATGAAATAAATAAATAAATGTCCCACAGGGTAGATCAAATGTGCATTGTACTGTATATGCAAGCTACATTCACCGTCCTTTACGTGCACCTAATACAGTCTTAACAAAAACTTTATATCAGGAAAAAACAAAAAGGTGCCGATAAAACATGACAAAACAGCACAAGCAGAGGTGGCAGTAACTTCGGAGAAATAGTTTCCCTTTTAAAACACTTTGATTTAAGCCCCTCAGTCTCACTGGGCATGACCACCTTAA